CTTAGTAAAAATTTAGCAAAACTAAAGGTTTAACCATTTTGCCAAATCCAAAATGAGTTTAGACAAGCAACCTTATTCAATATCGATAAAATTTGATATTATAATACATGGTAATAACATTTAGCTATATATAAAATTTCAATATATATTATTATGTAGGATTTTCCAATCGGAGCTAATTGCCTTAAATAAAAATCATTTTACGGTGTTTATTATATGTGATAAAATGAAAAATGATCAGCAAATGATCAGCAAAATGATCAGCAAAATGTGATAAAATTAAGCATGACCGCTATGCTGATCAGACTATGATCTGAACTGTTTAATCACAGACTTTGTATTTCAAACGCGTAAAAAATACCAACATCTTCCCTTATTTTAAATAAATATCCCTAATCAAATTATTATTATTTTTCTTTAGTGAAACTTTGGAATGCGACCTTAATGATATTTCTCTTGTTGATCCATCTCCAAATTCATTCATTATAACTACTAAAACAATGAGTGAACCGTTTTTAGGTTTTAAAGGTAGAAAAATCAAATTTAAAGTTTTATTTTTATTTGCAAAGCTCTGACCGTTGCTGTTGACTTTTTTTCAGCTTTAGTCCCATATTTTGATAAGGATAGTACCGAATGGTCATATCCCAATTTTCTATATGAGATGCGAAATGCTATCTTAGATATCGAGCCATTTGATAAAGATTGGGGTGGACTCGATGGAATGTGATATAAACGATATACAAAACTGGCAAATAATAATGAGGTATAATTTTTTTTACAGAACGCTTCTGGTTATTATTATATGCCATATAGAACGGTTTAGAGCTGTTATTATATGTTGTATAGAATGGTTCAGAAGTATGTTTGGACGCTTCTGGTTGTTATTATGTCATATAGAATGATTTAGATGTTTTGCTGAAAATTTTCGGTGTCCACTCCATCAATCTTGTATTGTGAATTTATTGATATTTATTTTTTAGATGCATTCGCATCCGTCTATGAAAACATTTTTCGAAGATCTCATATTTGAACGTAAAAAGGTTGGGGTTGGTCCTTCTTAAAGAATTCTACTATCAATGGAAATTAATAGTCATTGATATTTACTATAGCGAACGGCTCAACGTAATTACGTAAAGATTAGTATTAAAGTGCTAGATGAAGTACAGACGTATGGCATCCAAGAAATAATTTCAGAGATGCCAGAAGCTCTTTGAACGAAATGTTCTTTTACTGGTGGAATAGTTCCGGAATCATCAAAGAAAGTGAGTGACCATAGATGTTTGAAATAATGATGACATGAAGCCATAAGTAATTCTCAATAGTTTCGTAATAAATAACTTATTGGAAAAATGTCTTCTCACCTTTTTACATTTACAGATTAAAGCGACATCCGCGTCTGCTTCCTCCTCAACTGGTGATGAAAATGCGATCGATGATGATGGGCAAACAGCCGATGAATCTGAAGAAATTAATTATTCTGATACAATCTCTATATCAGATCAGGTAAGTACTAATTAATTTTCAGTTGATCATTATGATAATGCTTTTGATAAATCATTTTTTGTAATACAGTACAGACAAAAACATTTGGCGAGTCTTACCTAACATCTACAATTCCTACGACTCCTTCTCCTTCATCTCCCAATTATAAACAACCACGATTTATAACTAGTAATGAAAATATGGATATGGATTAGTCTTCCTGGCAGTTTGATGAAATTATTTGTGAAATAGATATTGAAGAAAAATTAATAGTCTTATTTGAGAAAGAAAAGAAAGCAAAGAAAAAATCGTCAATAAGTTATGGTATTATCGACCTAAATGATAGTAGAATCATGAATGTCTTGGAACAACCTGTAAAATTTATTTTTGAAGAAAAAATGAAGAAATATAAACCACAAAGATTCGTGTTAAAAAAAACTTTAGAAATTTTGAAGTATTTAAATGTAGTAAGTAATTAACTGAAACACAAAAAATAGCTTGATATTATTACTTATAATTAACATATTTAGACATCATTGTAGAAGCTTGGAAAAGCTCTTTCAAGTATCACCATTAATTACGAAAATCCAAATAGAAATACAGTATATTTGCATAATTTGTTTGATAAATTGTAAGTATTAATTAAATACAGTGTGTGTTTATATTTTGTAAAACATTTATTTATTTATCTTGTATTCAGTTTTTTTCTTTTTCAGGATAAGGGTATATTAAATCTAGATAGTTTCGAACTACAAGAAGGGTGATACAACAGCAACATTATTGCGTCATTCTTTGATGATTGCTTAGCTTTACTTAATAATTGTATTCTCCGACGGTATGTTTTAAATAAAACCTGCTGTGTTATCTTATATTGTATATAGCTAATTTTGTTCTTATATAATCCTTGTATAATCTTGTATAACAGTGGTGAAGTCATAAGCAAAGCACAAAAATTACTCAGAAATAAATCATCAAAAAAACCAAAATATGACGGAGACTTGTCATTTAATAGAAAAATCGAATTTATTTATGTGGAAACAGCAACCACATCGATCTTATCAAAAAGAGATAAAGACTTGTCAAAAATGCATGAAGCAATAGCTATTATGTTCAAGTTTATAGTATCTTCATTACCAGAGAAACTTGTATATGAAATATCAGAATTGCCTATCCTTTGCATTCAATTCTGCGGTAAGTAAAGCCATATCTTAATTATTAATGCAAGATCTTTAATAAACTTAATTTGTCACTTTACAGGAATAACAGCTGATGTATATACCTTGCTAATTGGCCAGTTAAGATGTGTCCAGTTGTTTTTTCAATAATGAACTTTGACATTCTGGAACAAGTTGCATTTTTACCAAGTTTAACGAAATCAGCTGTAAGAATGTTAACATTACGGGTAATTATAATATCTATGCTCACTTATTTTATTCTGTTTATGGCTGATCTTTTTACTCTTTTGTAGTCATTAATTCAAGACCTCCATAAACGGTATCAATTATTATTAAAAAATATCTCAGATTATTATTTAGATAATGATAATAATTGGACATCCCTACTGAAACTGAAGACTAGATAATTATGTTGAAATTTTCCATAATAACAATAATTTTTTTCTCTTATATTGATGTGTTTGGTTTTATAAATTTGAAAAAATAAAATTTTTTGCTTATTGCGAGACAAATTTGTCTTAGTTATATGATTTTGACCATTCTCAGTTTTATTCTAACTTTAAATGCTTTTGCAATTTACTATTTAATATTTATTTCAAAGTTTTGAGTTTATTCTATAAGACCCAATTCTCGAAGATGCCTTGGAATAACTACATATAGGTCTTCGTAATACCAAATATATTTTAAGGCAATCCAGTTTTCTTCGCATAATTCTTTCTTGAGTTGATCTCGTTCCTGCTGTTTGATGAAGTTATTGGGACCACCTCTATGAAAGAATTTATTATATTTTTCGTGTTGCTCCTCTTGGACTTCAATGGCAAAACTATAATCATAATACAGAATATCAAGCTCTAATCCTTGATAATATTTGAAAATCAGGTCAGCGTATTTTAGATGGTGATCTAAGATATTTTGATACTATTTCTCGACATAGTTTTTCTCTTTTATATTTTGAGCAGAATGGGCACTATTTCTTACCATATTTTATATTATTAAAAGATGCATTTCACTCATGTCCTTCAGAACAACGCCATTGCATTGAAGTATTAACATTAATGTATTCAGTAAAAATATATAGCCCATTTGTATTATATGCCACTTGCTTGACATCTTTAAATATACAAGGCTTATTATTTGCACAATATGGATACCATCTCTTAACATTTTTATAGTATGTAAAGTTGTAGTCCAAACATGACCTTTCGTATACTGCTATTATATTGGAGTATTGACATTAATATATTCAGTAGAGATACATAGCCCATTTTTATTACGAGCTAGTTGCTTTGCATTTTCGATAGTAAGAGATCTATTAACTGCACAATGTGGGTACCATCTCTTACCATATTTTATATTATTAAGAGTTGCAGTCCATTCATGACTGTTTGCACATTTCCATTATATTGAAGTACTAACATTAATATATTCAGTAGAAACACATATTCCACTACGCTCTTTGGCAGTTTTAAAAGTATTAACCTTTTCATTGATTCTTTAATGAAAAAATCAAAAACTTTAATTACCAGATAATGGGTTCCAAACTGATGGTATCCCTTATAATCTCGAGGAAGAAAATAACTACCGAGTTATGAATGAACTTAAAGTCTTATCTCAACATCTGCTTGACTATAATAGAAAGACTTTTGGGAAAATGATACAAGACATAGA